ATGCTGAGGCTCAGATGGGCACAGGCTGCAGATCACGGGATATTTTTCCATTATCTGCCTGCCAAGCACACCTTGGGCTAGAGGCCAGGGTCGGACCAGGAACAAGGAAAGAGCAAGTTTTTAGGAGGACGCCGATGGCTTATGAGAGGGGTTGGACCCTGTCACTTGACCCTCCACTAGTTGACTTTGGATGTCTACTCCAAAAACCTTCCTCCTTCCGCCCCTTCCCAGCCAGGGTATGGAGGTAGGAGAGGGCAAGAGTATGGTTTGGTAACCTCAGAAAGGGTTGATTCATTTGCTCCTGCCTCCCAGGACCAGAACAGAGAAAAGCTCTCTCTGGCCCAGGGGGAATTAAGAGAGTCTTTGGACAAAGGCCAGCTCTCCATTGCCAGGCTCTCTCAAGTTTTACCCCTCACTCCTTGCTCTCCGCAAACAACAGCCTCCTCAAGGCAAGACGCAGCCAGTCTCTGCCTTTACTCCTCCAAGAGCAGAAAAGATGAAGAGTACAGACACATTCCCATCCCAGAAGCCCCAGAAGAAATGTTGTTTTTACCCTTTGATTCTAAGTCAACGGAGCTAGGAAAACAGGTGGGGGACTGGACATCTGAACAGTGACGCAGGGAGGCAGGAGGTTAGGGAGAAGGAAATGGCTTTGTGTGTTCATGCAAAAAGCAAAAACAAATTTGAGGCTCACATGCACACGTTTGGCTACTATGTTACCTTCTCCAACACTATCCAGTGACTAGAACCACTAATCTGGTCACAGTGCTGTCCCCATCTTTCACACCCCCCCCCCCCCGACGCCCACCACCAGCCTGTCATCCTCTGACTTTCTTCTCACAGTGGCTGTTCTTGGCATTGACACAATGCTGCCAGATCATACACACCATGTTCCAAGCTCCTTAAGAAGGGCCTCACAGAACCCCTATAACCCAACAGCCAGGCAAAAATGGAGTATTTATGATTAATTTTCTTCCTACCTACTCCCTAACAGGGAAATCCACCTGACAAAAGGCTCTAGCCTTCGAGCCTAAGTCTGGACTCAGAAGCTCCCCCAAAAGCTTGCCTGAGCCCAGCCCACTAGCCGTACAATTTGGGTCCCTACTCTCTTAGTGGGATTCCAAGCAGTGACCACACTAGGAGCCACCAAGCAAGCCTCTCCCAGAGCACTCAGCTCTCAGCTGAGCAAAAAGGGCAGTAGTCCCCATTCCACGCCCTCCCCCAGCTCAAAAGTTGAAATTTAGAACAAGCAGAGTAGGTGCTGTACTACTGCCAATGGAGGGCACCAAGGGTGAGGAAATACCAGATTATTATTTGCTGATGGCAAAGGTGAGGCTACTCTACTTGGGCATGGATTATTCCAAATAGTCAATATTAAGAGAGAGGAAGAGAGAGAGAGAGAAGAGGACTTACTAATTAGCTTTGGTAGACTCACTGTCACAATTCTATTTTCCAGTGATTGATACTAAAATGACTCTAAATTACTAGCTTACTAAAGAATGCTGGATTTCAGGGCTGGGGGGCTGGTGATTAAACATTGACTTCGGGCAGGGATTAAACATTGACAAAGATCTGCATTGGGAGCAGAGGGCTGGCAGTAAACAGTGGCAATAGACCTTTCATCTGTCCTCTCTTACCTCATTCAAGCACCACATTCATGAGAAACATCCGCAGTGAGAGATGCCAGAGGGCATAGGAGACCTGGGGAATAGCTGTGTGGGTTAGGTCTCACCTTCTGGTGGTAGCTGGGTCACCCCAGGGTCCTGAAGCATCAAGCTAATGATGCCAACCTGAAGGGCTGGGCCTGTGTAGGCCTGTGTGCTTGGTCCTCTCCAATCTCCCCAAGATCAATCAAAGGTGCAAATAGGAGTCCTTTGCTGCCTGTGAAAACACAATTCAAAAGATTTATCTGGAGAATAAAGGTTTTAGGAAATGTCCAATGCTGGGCGACCTTGGTTCTTGACCTATCTATGCTATTACCTCACCGTGCAAACTTGGGCAAGTTGTTCCACTTCTCTGCCCTTGGTTCCTCATTGATCACTGGGGAGTAACTCTGTGTTCAGAAAGCCTGTGCTGTCCCATTTATTGAAGCTGAACCATAAGCACTTAGTAGGCACCAGCCAATACACATATTATACTTAACCTTTAAGTATAAACATACCTATGGGGTAAGTATAAGTAGCCCATTTTATAAATGAGAAAACTGAGGTCCAGAGATATTAAATAACTCATCAAGGGTCCCCTGGCTCGCAGGTGGCAGGGCTTGGATGTGAACCCAGGGCATGCTGGGTCTGGGACCTGTGAGCTTTCCATAAGGCTGCGCTGCCTCTCCACTTTGGCTGCCACCGGGCTGGTGTTCTCCTTGGCAGCGGTGGGGGTGGTGAAGTGATGACTCTTCAGTTAGGCTGCATGCCCCTGGGGAACAGGGATGCATACTCCTGCATGTCTCAATTCTGCCTGGACCTTGAACTGGCCATGGACATGGTAGATGCCATAGTAGGCTAAAAAATGCCGCCACCCCCCAAATACATGTCCACCTCATGATACTCGGAATCTGTAAATGTGATCCTATTTGAGGAAAGAGTTCTTTGCAAATCTGATTCGGTTCAGGATCTTGAAATGAGATGATATTCGATTATCCAGATGGACCCTAAATACCATCATATGTGTCCTTATAAGAGAGAGGCAGAAAAACATTTTAGACACGTGGAGAAGGCAATATGAGCGCAAGGGCAGAGGTTGGAATGATGTCGCTACAAGCCAAAGAAGCCTAGGGTTGCCAGGAGCAGCCAGGAGCTAGGAGACACATGAACAGATTCTCCTTAGAGCCTCCAGAGGGAGCATGGCCCTGTCCACACCTTGATTTCTGACCTGGGGCCTCCAGAACCGAGAGGGAATACATTTCTATTGTTTTAAGCCACCAAAGTTATAGTAATTAGTTACTGCAGCCACAAGAAATTAATGCAGTATTCGGTCAAAACAATCCTAGAACTGGAAAAGCCTTGGAAGCCAGTTGGCCCAGCCATCCCATTTAACAGATGGAACAACTACTGCCCTAAAGGAGGAAACAAATTGTCAAATTAGAGGCAGAGCCAGAACCAGGACATAGGAGCTCTGACTCCAGCGCTCGGCACATCCTCACACTGACTCATGCCAAGTCCCAGAGCCATGAAACTGAAATGAGCAGTTGTTCATCTTATTATTATGCTTCTCATATGATTACTTTAAAAGCAAGGGGAGTGTTTAAGCATATGAAGTTTTGGAAGGTATAGTGATGGCCGTCATCATCATCATCACTGAGTTGGGCAGTTGGACCTCTTGGCCTGTCCCTCCTCCCCAAGGACTGGGATGCAGGGGTTATACTTTAGGGCCATTGAGTCCCAGGTAGGAAACCACCGTGAGAGAGGGGAAGCTGGGGACTCCAATCACACCACTAGAATGTGGCTGAGCTCTAAATAGGACGCAAGGTTTTGACTTCCTTGTTCTCGCCTGGGTTCTACTTCTTATTTCCCCCTTTCCCAGAGCTGGGTCGTAGGGCAGGTGGACTTCAGAGGTGTGTGTATGTCTACACGGTCTGCTAAGATCATTTGGGGGACTCCTGGGAACACACACCAAGACATGATCTAGGAAACTTGTCACTGTCATAGAATAGGGAACATGGGAGGAGATCTGGGGCCCCTGAGGCAGCACAAGAAGTAATAGTTTGATTGGTGTGCTCCTTCCCTCCCTACACTCATCTCGTTTCTGTGCTAGGATTCGGGGGGCCCGCTTACCCCAGATTTAACATAAACTCCAGAGGAGAGAAGGAGGTGAAAAGGAAAGAAAATCCAGAACAAGACTGAATTTCAAATCAGAAATGACACGACTGAGATACTGTTGAACTGGAACTAGTTTGCCTGGAAGTGACTACGTCTTTTATCTCGTATATTAGTCAAATTGTGGGTTTAGGGTCTGAAATTAAGCTCCATTAAAGAAAAAATGATTTCTCTACTTGCCATCCAAATTCGTGATTGTGGGTGGGTACCCACCAGTGAGTGAGTGGTGAGCTAAAGTAAGACACTGGGCTCTGACTGCCTTGTGCTTTCCAGGGCTCTATTTCTCCTTTCCTCTTTCCTCTTCTGGGGTTTGGCTTGCAGGATGCTGGAGCGAGAGCCCGGGTCAGCCCCGCACAGTTAGGGAAGGTCAGGATTCTGTGTGGAGCTGGGGCGGGGGGCATATGTGTGTGTGTTGGGGAGTGGGCTTCTCTGTATGACCCAGGGAAGATCATTTGGGGAACAACTGGGTGCCCTAACCAGGTCATGGCCCGAAGACCACCAGGGACAAACTGAGTTTGTGAAGGAGGTTTCTACCGCAGCTCGGCAGATCAGCACCTTCAAGACGTGACTCAGAGCCAAGGTCTTGACAAGACACGGAGGTTCACCATTTTCAGGGGAGGCCGAAGGCAGCCGGCATCTTTCGTTCCTCTAGGGAGTGGAAAGGAAGTAGCCGAGGTCCCCCGAGTTCCTGGGAGCACTAGAGCTGGTCAAGGGGTGCTGAAGGAGATGTGTAGCCCGTGCTCAGTCCAGGCCGTGTCCTAGAAATTGAGCGGCAGTGTTCCCAAGTGAATGGGGCCAATTCCTGCCACCTGTGCCCCATCCGAAGCATATAAATTTCATACCATGCCCTGAACCAGATGCTTCATCTCTACTATCTGGTTATATCCTCAACCTACAGGTTTGGTGTTACTATTCATATTTTCCTGATGAAAAGAAATATGAAGGTTCAGTGCCGACTGTCTTGCAGCTAGAAAGTGGCAGAAAAGGCTCTTCAAGCTTGGATACCCTGTCTCAAATCCCGTAGCTGCACTTATGGAGGATTCCCAAGTAACATTCTCCCCAAGGTCAGGGGGAGGCAAATGGAGGCAGCCAGGAAAGTCCAAAGGGAAGGAAAGCAAGGGATCTGTGAGAGTCACGTGCACCTGGCTGGTGGCCATGCCTGTGGGAGAGTGTCCCTTTAAGAACCCAGGTGTGGGTCAAGCACGGCACATAGTTTCAGTTTGACAGCAGCATCCAGTGTCCTGCTGGCAGCTTCTAGGAAGGCAGGGGTTGTGGACTGGCCAGCAGGCTGTTCTCCCAAAACTGAGTCGACGGGCGAGAACGAAGTATCTAAAAGTAAGTGCGGCTACTCTGGGATCTCCAGATGGGATGCCATCTGGAAGGGCCTGGGATGGTGGCTTAGGTAATCGCCCACATTCACAACTCTGAGGCTTCCGGAGGGGGGTGAGGAATAGGGCTGCAGCCTGTGTGACTGAGCATATGCTTAGGAGCATGGGTGCATATCCCAGAGAGATGGGTAAGGGCCGACGTGTTTGGAAGCCCCCACCCCTTTTCTGCGACATAGTAGCAGGTGGGAAGAAGGAATGTCTGTGGTTAGCATGTGTAGTTATTCTCTAAGTTTGGTTGCTGAATTCCCTCCTAACTCCTTCACAGATTAACTGTGTGACCTTAGGCAAGTCACTTACCTGCTCTTTGAGCCTTAGTCTTGAAGCTGTAAAATGTGGATAAAAATAACATCTATCACCAGGGTTGATCATTGCACCTCGTGGTGGCTACAGGGGCTCGCCGCCGCGGGGGAGCGCCGCAGAGAGCGCAGCGCTCCCTGAAACCTGAGGGAAACCGGCTGGGGCCTGCGGAGGTGGGAGCCGGGCTCTGAAACCCGCAGAGCCAGACCCGGGATTGTCACGGATGAGGGGGAATAAGCACAATAATGTTGCAAACACTTCTCTGTTTGCCGAGAGAGCAAACGGGGCACTTCCCTCCTACCAGAGAAGGCCATGGCACATCCCCTGCAGTGGGAAAGGCCCTGTCACCTTTTGTTCCAAGGCTTTTACTGAAAAACTTATCAGTGGGCTAGGTAACAGGAATGCATACATACACATGTTACATTAGCATGTTAAGTTTCCCAAAGAACAGATACCTTTAAGAAAACAAGGGACAGGAGTTTACCGATTTATATGGGTCCAAGAGGAGGCCAGTCTCAACAAAAGAGAATGAAGACAAGGGCAAGCGCCTTAATGATAAAGGGTAAGGGGCATAAAAAATGTGAAGGTCCTTCACAGCATGAGCTGACCAGAGATCTGAGGGAGGAACAGAGCCCACTCTAAAGAATTTACTTTCAGGCCTGATTACCCTGGCGTAGCCCCTGCCCAGGGGAACAGGTCAAGTCGCCTCAGGAGCCTGTTTCTCCAAGGCCTCCTGATTATTTTCAGCCTCAGGACCCTCCAGGCTGTGGGCAGGGTTACAGCTCCTGAGACCAGGCCAGGCATTTCCCAGCATCTCCCCCTTTTTTGTTTGTTAGAGCGGACGTTGGGGGAAGTCCAACAAACCTAGCTACTTGTTCTTCCCTCACCCTATCTCTGTGGAACAGCTTATAAATGCATCACAAGGCACAGAAGACAATAATGATCAATAAACATCCTGCAGCACCAATAACCCATACACGGAGGTTCAGACCCTCAAACCAAGTTTTAGGATTAAGCCAATGCAAATTATCATTTAGAGTTTGGACAATTTCCAGCAGAGAGAGTCTCTTAATGTCCTGAAGTTTTTGATGCAGCTCGAGCTGGAGCTGGTCAATCTGGCCCTTCAGATTGGGTGAGAAGGCCCCTCTAAGGCAGTGTGGCAATTCCACCCAAGAGTGTTGGCTGGAGTTGCACTGCAGTGGGGTGACGCACAGCTTGGAGAAGCCTGGATCACAGGCGAGCCCCTGGCAGGTGACAATGGCATCCTATCGTTCTCCTAGCCATAGCATGGCCAATTCCACAGCTGAAAGCCTGGTGAGGATCTCCTGGTCAATTTGAGTTTGCCGGATCATTTCCTGTGTGGTGTTAGTGAGAAGAATATCGACAGCATGAGCAGTTTGGACAGACTCAGCAAGGGCAGTGCCGGCCGCTGCAGCAGAGGCAGCAACAACAATAGCAGACGCAATGCAAGCAACAGGCATGCTTATAAAGCGTTTTACTCTGATCTGGGCGAGGGCCTGATTCAGGGCTGCTAGACCCCCTGGGTCCTGCTCCTCTCGGGTGACATTCACAAGCAGCCAGATTTCTGTTTGCCTCCCTATGACAAAAACGGAAGTAAGTCTACCAGAGGTCACATTAGCATGAGTGAGGCAACTGGCATATATAGATCCAGGACTAACTTGCAAAGTATATGTCCAGGACTCCTTGTTAAAGGACAACTGAGGCTTTCCTGGAATAGCTAGAAACAAGTAAGGATGGGAAGTACAGACAGTAACCCAGGAATTATTAGCTTTCCAGATAACATCATATCCTTTTCCGGTGTCTTGCCTCTAATATACTAATTGACCCAAAGCTCTTTCTATAAATGGGAGTCCCATCTTCCAGGTGTTAGTGTGCCAAAGGCTGGTATGATTCTTAGAATTCTAATGACAGATGCTCCCGTTCCTTCTCCAGACCAGCTGATGTCAGAATACCTTCTCATAGGTTCTGCAGGAGCTTTTGGCAGCCCGTTAAGGCCAAAAACTCTCCATCTGGCACCCATCTGGCCAGGGATGTCAATGAAGGAGGGAGTTTGATCCCTACAAGGGGAACAGACAATTGGTTTATCAGGCCTGGATGTAAATTCACCCATAGATATATCTGGGGGATATACATCTTCCCCATCATATTTTCTGTCAAAATCTATTGCTCCAATTAAGGACATATCAGTTTGGGATTCCTTGTTTTCTAAGGCATAGGAATACCATTTAAAGGTTATAGGCAAGCACAGCATGTCATGCAAGGTAGAAAAACGCGCTGGCAGATGATCAGAAACATATACAGTATGATTTGGGACGACCATCCAATGTCTGTTCCTTTGTAGAGGTCCATCAGCGGGTAGCCAAACACCTCCCATCCACTTGGTGTCATTATTGGACAATGCAGTTTCTGGATTCCCCCAGGTGTGTAGCTTAAACACTGGTGGGTCTAAGATGCGACTCCAGTAAATAAACTGATCATCGGCTGCAACCTGTGAGCTTCCCAAACATAGCAGAAAAAAGCAAATGGCTATTCTCACAGGGTTGGCAGAAAACACAGAAAGATATACTAAAGACTGGTTTTCAGGGGGTGAGAGAGTCCTGATTTTTGACGTCTCCGGCTTCTGGTGGCAGGTCTGCGTCCTCCGTCGTCGCTCGGTTGTGACCACCTGGGATAGCTGATTGGGCAGGTGCTTCCATCCAGTTCATTCAGACTTGTTGCACATGGTGGTCCTGCTGGGACTTAAAAACAAACATACCTTCTTCCCCCAGGTTGGTAACTCTGTCCATCCTTCACAGTTTCCACTCCTAGGGGGTCCCTATAGAATACCAAGGGATGAGGCCCTTCATTGGGCTTACTCCGGTGGAAATGTTTCTCTATTGGAATATTAAGTGATTGTCACAATTAAAATTTACAGGTATATATGGCTATTATTATCAAATTTTAGTAAGTTTTTAGTAAATTTTTCATGGAGGACTCCTGACTCCCCCTTTTTTGTTTGCTGGAGGAGAGCCTTAAACGTATGATGAATGCGCTCCACAATTGCTTGACTGAGAAGGTTACAAGAGATTCCTGTTTTATATTGAATTTCCATTTGTTTAAAAATTCTTCCGATGACTTTGCCATGCAACCTGGCCACTATCAGTCTTATAAGGAGGCTGAGATTGCAGGCCTCAGGCCTCAGGCCCAGCTGAAAAACTGCCTGAGTTTAAAAGTGCGACTTTTTTTTCTTTCAGTCCTGTAAAAACAAGCATCCTGCTGTTAGGATTAGCAAGTTAATTACTTTATTGTTCTCATGACCTAGTCATTTCCAGGTCTGGAAGTTATGGTGTTTCAAAAGACTTTTATACTTATTTTTCATTCATTCATTTTCTATTTTTAATATCCTTTCTTCCCATGCCATACATGGATGTGGCATATATCTCTTTCTTTTATTCCTTCTTACTCTTTTCCTTCACAATCCTTCACCTTCTTATTTCTTTCTCCTTCCCTATCCTTCACTTTCTTCAATTCCTTCTTTTTCCTTCCTTTCCCCTACACAATCCTTCCTTAATGGCCACAGCAAGTTAAGTGGCTTCCAGTACCTACTTTCTGGCAAACTTTAAGAAAGTGACTTGATGTTAAATGTTGTTAGCTTGATACAATTGAGAACAGCTTTATAAATATTATTTGCGTTCTCATAGGCTAACTAATGAAAGAGTTTCAATTGCTTTATTTATTTACTCACATATTTAGGTTCACCAAAAAAAAAAAAAACCCCAAACTTGAAAAACCAATACTTTTCATTCAGGACTAAAAGCAGTTGATTTCTGGCAAGTCCCCTGCTGTGGTTGCTTTAATATGCAAAGGAGCCAAAGTAGTTGTTATCAAGCTCCAAGTAAGAAAATTCTGATGCTCAAAATTTCTGAAGCCAATTTAATTTCTTTTTTACCTTTTTCCATTCCTTAACGATTACTGATTCCTTGTCAGGGAACCACGGACAGCATTCCTTTACTGTCTGCTGACAGCCCGCACCCTTAAGAAGCTGTTGGAGCAGCCTGAGACAGACCTGCTGCACCTGAGAGACTTGCAAACCTGTTTTCGCAGCTGGGAAGTGTTTTAGTGCCCTTTTCCAGTTCCACTTTCTTTCAACTCCGCTCTGTCTTTTATAAAGTGGTTTACCATCTTTGTCATAACTAGATTTACATTGGTTGGCCCAATGTCTGCCTTTCCGACAACATGGGCAAACTGTATCGGGGGGGTCTCCCTGAAATAACTTGCAGAGGGGCTTTGCAGTCCCTGTGCTCATGGCCTGTCTTGCCACAGTTAAAACACTTAATTTCTCCTTTAATGGCGGTGGCCAATAGCGAGGCACGATGCTGCTCCAAGCCTACACTCTGGCAGGCCTGGATGAATTGACCGATACTGGTAGCAGTTGCTCTTATAGGAGTGGGAGCAGCTTTACAATCATTAGCATTCTCATAGGCTAACTGAAATAGAAGGATCTCAGCTGCTACTAGATTCCCAACTTGCCTCTGTATTGCTTCCTGTAATCTGTCAACAACGTCTAAATAAGCTTCCCTGACCCCTTGTCGAATGTTAATAAAGGAGCCAGGTCCCTGGACTTTAGCTTCCGGGACCTCTCTTAAGGCA